GCTCTTATCTCTTCCTCGCCCCTCAGGAGACGAAAGAGCATCTTTCCCTCCCTGAGTCTGGCCTTCATAATTCCATTCCATCACAATGCTGAGCCAAAATGAAGTTTCCCTTTGGTTTATTGTGAAGCCTTACATGAGGCTTAATATATCATACAATATTATATTATAATATAATCTTGGAGTTGTTACCATTCTGGACTTCTGCAAACTGGAATTGAAATCTTCAACAAGCCTTGATTTCAAATTCTTGCTTTTAGGTGAATTCATCACCTTTGCATGCAACCCCAATGTGATCTATAGAATGTGGTCTCTGTTGGACAGACCTGACTATAAACTTAGCAGTTCTTGTGACTACATACTTGTTTGTGCCCTGAAGGAATTAAGGTAATCTTTTGTTAGAGTCCCAATATATAGTTCTGTCAAGTAGTGTCTGTACGTCCTGAGCCCTTACTGAGGCATATAATTGACAGTTGAACAGGACATATGCAATGTCTTCTATTTCTGATGCTCCATAAATACATATTCTCTCAGAATATGGCACTTGGTGGAATCGTCCGTATTTGACCATAGAATCTAACTTCTAGAATCTTGCTCTGGTAAGACCTATCCTATGGTATTGAGGCAAACCCATTGTCAAGTATTTTTCTATTTGGAAGGACATTTTTGGCCAGGTGTATGAAGGCAGTCTAGTCGTAACACTCCCGCAACTTTCTATATCTTATAATTCAGATCATTAGGTATTCACTACAAGCCACAGAAATGGATCAGTGAAGACCTACATGGCTTCTTAATCAGACTTGGGCCCTTACATGAGGCTTAATATATCATACAATATTATATTGTAATATAATCTTGGAGTTGTTACCATTTTGGACTTCTGCAAACTGGAATTGAAATCTTCAACAAGCCTTGATTTCAAATTCTTGCTTTGCACATTCAAAATGGCAGTTACTTGAGATTCAGATTAAACCCTCCATTGCTGTAATTAATTATATACATCCCAGTAGCATACTGTATGTATGTTCATAATCCCTTTACAGTTACTTAAGATATCTTACAAACACAACTAGTCCCTGACATCAGGATTGTAATTAATATGACAAAAGGAAAAGTGTTGGTAAGGAAATGATTCTTAGGAGGGATTGTGATTGAGACAGGATGCTCATGTTTAAAAACTAGCTATTGTGATCTGAAAATACCCTGAGCAACTGTGATTAGGATTTTATCATTTTGTTTCAAAATTAGATATATTTAAATAGGCATGTTTACAGTGACATACTTAACCATTGTCACCTTACCTGAGTTCAAAGGACATGTACTACAGAATTAGCACATTAGCAGGGCTCACATAATCTGGACAGGTACTGCATATTCAGTGTGTTCATCTGAACAGAGCCACTGAGCCTTTATTGTAATTTTGTAATTAACTGGTTTGAGTACCAAATATAGAAAAACAAGATAATTTAAAAACAATTAAAGCAGGAAATTGTACCAAGTGACTATATTTGCATGAGCCAGCCATAAATTAGTTAAGATATTTTAACCTAGCATGTTGTGTGATCTCAGTACCTGGTCAATTTATGCATCATGTGAATCCAGGAAATTGGACTAAGTCCACAATCAAGTTAACTGGAGGCACATCGTACAAGTGCAACCTTTTTTCTTCAGTGGGACTTCCCATGAACAATGCAGAACTGGACTAAACCCAACTAATTTAAATTAT